GGAGGTGGACATGGATTGGGCATGTGCTGTGAATGGATAACAGTTCCATCCCACGAGTTGCACTGACGTGGGTACCGGAACGAAAATGCAAGAGTGGAAGACCCAGAGAAACATGGCGTAGGACAGTGGAGAAAGAGTGAATGGCGATGGGTTACTGTTCTTGGATAGACGCAAGGCTGGCGGCGGCTGACAGAGTGTCTTGGAGAAGTAAAATTTATCCTCAGTTTGGACGGCCTTCCATGTAACAGTGAGGTTCTTAAGCCCACAGTATACGCTGTTTTATACCATGCCACAAAAAATACAGCCAATCGGAATACAGGAAAGCCGTTGTATATTTGACGGTATTACATCCAACGTTCCCACCATGCACCGCACGTATGTCGAATGCATTGTGTTAGCCACTGTATTTTCTATGGCATGGTATGGGATATTCCATGGTATATCACTTGAAACCGTTGCATAACTGGTATATGCCCAGAGCTAACTGTTCTAGCCTAAAAGAGAAGCCATCTCCAACATTATGTCAACATTATTCAACGCCTTTGCAGCAAGAATTACCAGTGAAAGAGATAGCTTATATTGCAGGCTGTTGCAACCGTTTTGGAAAGGCGCTTTTAATTATCTCCTGAGAAAGTCACAAATCTTTTATCTGATCTAACGCAAAAGCTATAACTACACTACAAGTGTAATTATTTCAGCATGGACCTTCGTTTTAAACGTGAACGCACTATGCTATTGTAATATTATCACTGAAAGTGCGGTTCCTACCTGTAATCCAGCTTTACTCCACATTTTTCTTGTTTTAGTCCTTCATATAACTATAAATGACAATAAGTAAGGTGTTGCTCATCCAGCAATTTCCACAGCATAAGCACAACACTACAGTGGTCAGATAATGTCTTCAAATCAAACTTATTGTATCACACTAACATAACTACCCTGGCGTTCTCATACTGGGAAAGGTTTTCTCTTCTGGAGATCAGCCTTTGCGGACCAGGCAACCGTTGTTCTAAGGCTGGATAACGCTATCCACCGGATAAATCGCTATCCAGTGGATAATTGTTCACAAAAGAAACCAAACTATCCACTGGATAGCGTTATGCAACTTTCGAACAACTGGAGCCAGTAAATGTCGATTACATTTACCCTTGTACATGTATAACATGATTATAATTGCTAAATTTCTTGTTTTAATTGATAATTAGGTAGCTGTAGTTATATTATTTTTATCATTTCTTATTTCTTTATGTCCTTAATTAGTAAAGGATCTTTACCCTCGGCTGGATAGGCTCGACACTTTAATAAAGTTACTGTTATTGTTGTTATTATTGTTGCTGTATAGTAGTGAATAACAAAATGCTAATCAATGCAAATTAATATATTCTGTGAGAGAAAATGCAGATTAAGACTAGAGAGTTAACATCCCCTAGAATATATGCATGCATCTAGGCTTTTTTTTTTCCAAGTATTCCCTCTCACGTTATCTTTAGACATGGTACCCAGTTCTTTCGTGAAAGTTTCCACGCGCGTTGCAAGAATGTTCTCGTGTTTCCGCGCAAAACCAGTTGGGCTGTCCACGTGAGCAAAATCCGCATCGCTGGAATGGCTACTTCTAGACCCAACTGGGATTCTAAAATTAACGTAAGAGGGATTACCTTAGGAACAAGGCCTATAAGGGGGATCAACTCTCTTACAGTACATCATTTCTTGAATATCCCCCAATTATAGCTGCGATACTTAGAGTAACAGCAGCAAAAACAGAGATCTTGAAGACAGCACTCATTAGTAAACGTAATGATGGTAGGCTCTGAAAATGTAACATACGTGAACTGACCTGGTTAAGTATGGAGTGTTTGGCATCTGGGTCTTGTGTTGGATCAGCTCTGTGTTCAGCCGCTGACCGTCTGTTGATGAACAACTTTGGCATGTGTGCTGGAGTACTGCAGAATAAAATTGATCTTCAAATGTCGAAACTATTGAATAGTTGATGAATACACGTGCAAAGAAGCAGCATGGTCAAGTGGTTTGGTTTGAGCAATTACCGTCTGTAAGTCTCTGAAGGCCTCGAGAATTGCTATATAAAGGGTAGTGATTCCAAGGAAGGGAGAGACAGGTTTTCTACATGTTCTATTCTCTCCGTTTTGTCAGAATTTGACATTGAAGTGAGTGTAGTGCCTTCCTTACCCAGACTGTGATTCTCTGATAGCTTTCTCAATCAGCATGGTTCTGTGTTTGGACAAAGGCAGAAGTTGTCGAATAGCCTAAGGCAGAAATAAAACAAACCATCTTTATGGTGGTAAAGAGTTCAGTATATAAAGACAAATAAATCAAGTAACATGCTTGGCTTTTATGAGAAACTTTGTTTTGGACAAATACAAAAACTTCAAGGACATTCAAGGCCATAATTCCAATTTTCAGATTCAATGACTTTCAAAGTCCGTGTGAAACCTGATAAACACTTGTTATTATTAACACTAATTAGAGCAGTTTTCAACTGAGTAGCGTAAAACCAAAGTAATCAACCTAGCCAGTCACAAAGGACACAGACAATACAGTGAGCCAATCAAAGCTCGAAGTTATTACATGTAGCTAACGTTAAGCGCGGGAAAACAAGTGCCAGTTTCAACACTGAAATAAAGACTGCTCTATTATGAAATTTATCAAGTTTTGTATTACCTCCAAGTCTTTAAACGACCCAGCTGAATAATTCCAAGAAGGAAGAAGATAATGTAACACACTGTCCAGAAGCTCAGTGAACCTGAAAGCAAATGCATGAAGGCTTTGTGTTTGTAATTGTAATCAAAAAGACAAATATGCGACCTGTAACGCGAAAACGTACACTAACGGCTAGCGAAAGGCTAACAAACGGCAAACGAACGCCTAACGAGCGACTAAAAAAACGGTTAACAAACGGCTAACACTCAGATGGAAACGGCTCACAAACGGATGTAAACGCCTAACAAACAGCTTACAAATGGCTAACAAACGACTAACAAACGACTAACAAACAGCTAACAAATGGCATACCAACGGCTAACAAACGACTAACAAACGCCTACCAAACGGCTTATTAACGGCTAACAAACGGCTTACACACGACTAAGAAACGGCTAACAAACGGCTTACAAGCGGCCAACAAACGGCTTATAAACGGCTAACAAACGGCTTATAAACGGCTAACAAACGGCTTATAAACGGCTTCTAAACGGCTAACAAACGGCTTACAAACGGCTAACAAACGTCTAACAAACGTCTAATAATCGGATGGAAACAGCTACCAAACGGCTTATAAACGGCTAACAAACGGCTTATAAACGGCTAACAAACGGCTTATAAACGGCTAAAAAACGACTTACAAACGGCTTACAAACGGCTAACAAACGTCTAACAAACGTCTAATAAACGGATGGAAACGGCTACCAAACGGCTTATAAACGGCTAACAAACGGCTTATAAACGGCTACAAACAGCTTACAAACGGCTAACAAACGGCTTATAAACGACTAATAAACGACTTATAAACGGCTGACATGCGGCTTATAAACGGCTAACAAGCGGCTAACAAACGGCTTATAAACGGCTAACAAACGGCTCATAAACGGCTAAAAAATGGCTTATCAACGGCTAACATGCGGCTTATAAACGTCTGACAAACGACTTCTAAACGGCTAACATGCGGCTTATAAACGTCTAACAAACGACTTCTAAACGGCTAACATGCGGCTTATAAACGCTAACAAACGGTTTACAAACGGTTAACAAACGGCATACAAACAGCTAACGGCTAACAAACGGCT